AAGGAATCGACTTCTGGAGGAAGAAAGGGTTGAAGGGGGTGGTTTTTAAGGTGGATTTTAAGAGAGCATATGATTCAGTTGATTGGTTGATTTTGTTGAAAATTTTGGGTAAAATGGGGTTTGGCGAAAAATGGCGTTCTTGGATGTTTCAGTGTATGTCAACTGCTTCTGTTTCTGTTTTACTGAATGGGACTCCTACTGAGAAAATTCATACAAAAAGAGGTCTTAGACAGGGATGTTCGCTATCACCCTTGTTATTTAATTTGGATGGTGAATTGCTTCATTTGATGTTAACTAAAGCAGTGGATTTGGGACTGTTTTTGGGTTTTGAGTTGGGAGCTCAAGATCGTTTATTCAAGCTCTCGCACCTACAATTTGCGGATGACCTTATTATCTTTTCAAAGGCTTCAATTCGGGATTTGAAGAATGTTAGAAGGGTGCTTCTGATTTACGAGCTATTGGTGGGGTTGAAGATTAATCTAGTCAAGAGCAAAATTTACGGAATCAATATTGAGGATGATGTGCTTGTTGACTGGTCTAAGGAAATTGGTTGTTCAGTGGGTAAGTTTCCAGCAGATTATTTAGGCCTGCCTCTGGGGTCTAGGAGAAATTCTGTTGCAATGTGGGAGCCAATAGTGCAGAATTTTTATAATAGATTGTCTGGCTGGAAGGTGAATTCTCTAGCATTAGCAGGGAGGGTGGTGTTGATCAAATCTGTTTTGTGCTCTCTTCCCACTTATTTCCTTTCTTTATTTCGAATTCCAGTTTCGGTGCTGCAGAAATTAAATTCTATAATGGCTGCATTTTTATGGGGGGTCGACTGATAAAAGGAACATACATTGGGTGAATTGGGGTTTGGTCAGCAAGCCGAGAAGGTTGAGGGGCCTAGGGATCCCGAACTTAGCTATTCTGAATAGAGCATTGTTGGGTAAATGGGTTTGGAAGTTTGCCTCTGAAAAGGATTCTTGGTGGAAGAGAGTAGTCTGTTGTGTGAATAATTTTGGACCTGAACTCCAAAAAGGTAGAGTTCTTTGACTGCTCGTGCCTCTTGGATTTGGAGAGGAGTGATCAATAACTTCTTTTCCAATGATGGATTTGGTGTCTGCATTAGGAGTAATTTGAGGTGGAAAACTGGAAATGGCCATTCTGTGGTATTTTGGAATGATGCTTGGTTGGGAGAAGTCCCCCTCAAAGATTTGTTCCCTAGATTGTACACTCTTTCGACAAATAAAGAGGGGAAAGTAGTGGAATTTAGGGAGAGTCTTGCTGCAGGCTGGGTGTGGGATATTCAATTCAGAAGAAATCTGGTGGATTGAGAGATTGATCAATGGTTGCATCTGATTTTTATGCTGAATAACACCTTTTTGTCTCATGATGAGGAAGATTGTTGGATTTGGTTTGGGAATGGAGAGGGCTGCTTCTCTACTAATTCATGTATCAAGAGTTTCTTTGACTCGGATGGTATTGAGGGGAATCAGGATTTTTGGGACAGAAATATTTGGGTAGGGATAGCACCTCCTCGTGTTGAAACCTTCTTATGGCAAGTAGTTCATCTGAGAGTGGCGGTTAAGGAGGAATTGTTAAAGCGTGGAGTGGCTGGAATTGAAGATTCCTTATGTCCGTTGTGTGGCAGATTTGGTGAATCTGTTTCCCATCTTTTTCTGCATTGTGAGGTTGCTTGGGGACTGTGGGTCAGATTTTTGAATTTGTGGGATGTTGCTTGGGTGATTCCTAATAAACCCTTAGATTGCATCACTCAGTGGGACGAGCTTCTTCCGAATTCTAGTATTTGGAAATTCATTCCAAGGGCAGTCTTGTGGACGGTTTGGAAAATTAGGAATGAAGTTATTTTTAAGAAAGGGAAGTTGGATGTGGTGGTGTTGTTCTTTATTGCTCGTTTTAGAATAGTTTCTTGGTTTGCTGCTAGTTTTGATACGCAGATTCCTTTCGATTCCCTTGTGGGTGATCTAACACTTGCTGATTCAATGGTTAGTCACAAAGTAAGATCCAAGCCTTCGTGCTGGGTTCCTCCTCCAGTTGGGTTCATAAAGATTAATGTTGTTGGAGCAATGGTGAAGGGGTGGAACAAAGGAGGTATAGGAGGCCTGATTAGGGACAGCAGTGGTAAGTTGATTCATTGGTTTTCTGAAAATGTTGGGGGAGGTCCCCCGATTATGGCAGAACTTCTGGCGATTAAGAGGGGGTTGTGTTTGCTTATTGATTCAGGTGGGGTTCTTAATCAGAGGATTATTTTAGAATCAGATTCTACTAACGCCCTGAAGTGGATCAAAAATCCGGAATTAAGCACTCCTTTATTCCAATCATTGGTGAAGGAGATAGTCTCTACTATGGAAGGGTTGGACATTACGTTAAGGCTTATCTTGAGGGCTGCTAATTGGGAAGCGGACAGATTAGCTAAAGATGGTATAGGTTGATTTGCTGCCTTAGTATTTGGGGAGTTGGTGTGTATGTTTCACTTTGTTACTGCAGATTTTTGTTCTCAGTCTTATGTTATTAGTGTTTACGCTTTCCAGCTGATAGTGGTTTTTAAGTCTTATGCTTTCTGGGAAGTTTTGTTTGTTGTAAGGGTTGGCAATGTACTATTCTTCTGTTTAATATAATTATAGACGCTCTTTTAATGAGGCCTCATCTTCTATAAAAAAATACCACTAAAGGTTACGCACAAGTTGAATTCGTTGATGGGTAAATTTCTTTGGGGAGAAGATCAAGCTAAGAAACGGATTCACTGGGTGAACTGGAAAACGGTTTGTCAACCTTTTGAAGAGGGTGGGTTGGGTATCGTTGACCTGAGTTTGATTAATAGAGTATTGTTTGGGAAATGGGTGTGGAAATTCGCAAATGAAAAAAACAGTCAATGGAAAAAGATTATTTGTTGTAAGAATAACGTTAGCAATTTGTCTCTCTCAATGACAAAGGTTGTTTCTCCCTTAGATTCATGGATATGGAGAGGTATTCTGAACAACTATGTGAAAAATGATGAGATTGGAGATTGCTTGAGAGCCAATTCAAAGATACAAGTGGGAAATGGTAGGTCAATAGCATTTTGGAATGATGTTTGGGTTAATAATTCGACCTTAAAATCCCAATTCCCCTGAATTTTTGCTTTATCGAATAATAAATGGGGGAATATAGCTAAGTTTGGTGGTTTTGTTCAGAATGTATGGGTTTAGAATATTCAGTTACGAAGGAATTTATACGACTGGGAATTGGATCAGTGGCTTGCTTTAATGTCCTTGATTGATAATATAGTTCTGTTTGATTCAGTGGATGACTTTCTTGGGTGGTCGGGGAAGGGGGATGGCTTGTTCTCGGTCAAGTCTTGTAGATTGACGTTATCCTGCAGTTCTGAAGATAGTTTTGAGTGGAATAAGTGGGTATGGTCTGGTTTGGCTCCTCCTAGAGTAGAAACTTTTTTATGGCAGCTTTCACACCGTAAATTGGCAGTTAGAGTGGAGTTGAAGAAGAGAGGGATTCCCTTGGATGATGTCCTTTGTCCTTTATGTCATACTCATGAAGAAGCAATAGAACATCTATTCTTGGATTGCTCTGTTGCAGGGGAGTTATGGATTAAATTCCTAAGGGTATGGGATATTTCTACTGTTTTGCCTCAAGACCCCATGGCAATTCTAAGTTCATGGTCGTACCTAAGGCAGAATTCATGTATTTGGAAGTTTATCCCGGGGTTGTTTTCTTGTCAATTTGGAAGGTGAGGAATATGGTAGTGTTTGAAAATTGGAAGTTTGACAGTTCTTCTCTATTCTTCTTCGCTAGATTTAGGTTGGCTAAATGGTATTTAGCTAAATACCCATCTGTGAGTATTCTCTTTGATCTACTACTAGGGGATCCAACACTTGCAGATAAAATTCATAATTCTTCGAACACAATCAAGGCGATTTGTTGGCTACCTCCTCCACCTGATATGTTTAAATTCAATGTTGATGGGGCGGTAAGAGGAGATGGGCTACAAGGTGGGATAGGAGGTATTCTGAAAGATTCCAATTGCTCTACTTTAACCACTTTCTCCTATGCTGTAGGGCCAGGTCCTCCTACTTTGTCAAAGTTGAAAGCTATTAAGGAAGGAATTGATTTTTTTTGCTTCGGACTGGGCTATGAAGGGGAGACTTATTATAGAGAGTGATTGTAAATCTGTAGTGGATTGGATTTCTAAGCAGCACCCTGCCCCTACATTTTACAGTTCTCTGGTGGAGGAAATTGGGGCAATAATTTCTGCTATGGATATTTTTCTTAGATTGATTCTTAGGAGTTGTAATATGGAGGCTAACAAGCTAGCTAAGGAGGAGATTGGTTGATTGTTACAGGCCTGTTGTAGTAAGGTTTTGTGTTGTTTTTTGGGCTTTGTTTAAGCTTAAAGTCTTTATTGGTGATGTTAGTTTGGTTATCAGGTCAGGTCAGCTACATTAGAGGTTGTTGTCTTAGCTAAGATGGATTAGGTTGTGATTCTCTGGATGTATCTTATGTATTTTTTATGCTGAATGAAATCTAAGGGCACTCTTTTCCTCCTTCCAACTGATTAAGGAGCTTCCCTACAAGTTCCTTTAATCAAGAAGGGGGTTTTTAACGAGGCCTTCAATTCTTATAAAAAAAATATGTTCACATGGTTGATTGCGGTCTTAGCAATGCCATACCAATACTAAAATTGACAGAAAGTTGAAAGAACGGAGGAAGATATAGAAAAAGAGGAAGATAAATTCTATGTAAACCTTGAACCTCTTATCTCAAGTTTGTTGTTCGGATTGTCAGTGATCACTTGTAACAGATGTTGCAAAGTAACCCATGCATATGAGATCTTCCCTAATATAAACAGACTTAGTGCAAACTGAATTAATTAGGCCATGTAGAAATCAGTCACTTTTCCTTAGTTTTCAATGAAGTATGCCTTAAAATCCATTTTCGGTGGTGTGTCATCCTTTGGTTGTGGATATTATTTTAATCTTGTCTAATTCTGCATTTTTCTGCAGAGTTTCAATGCTGCTTTGATAGTGGATCCATTAGCCGGGCAGATAATTGCAAGGGCATGTGATGATGTCTGCTCTTGGCATATGGGAACAAATGAAGCAAAGACAGAAACCTGCCACATCAAACAGTCGGAAGGATTCACTTCTGATGCTGATGCTAACAGGATAGCAAGAGATGCAACTTTGATTTCAAATGGCTCATCTAACAATCTCCTAAAATGTGACACCACAGTTTCTTGTTTAAACCCTTGGCAGTTTTCACAACAATCATTGGATACAAGTCCTTGTTATTGTCACCCATTACGACATGCTACCATTGTTGCTATTGAAGCTTCTGCTGCGAGGGACCGACATTTGTTCCGTGATTCTGGGCACGGTGAAAAGTTGTATGAAGTTGATTCTACTCATTTTTCTCCCTCAGGTTCTCCAGCAAAGAGACAAAGGGTGACCCTTGAAAATGTGAGTTAACTTTATTCTGTTTCTATTGAATATTCGTCTTGGTGATCCATATAACAGAGGTTAAGGTGGGGGAATATCTTCCCAGTTTTGTTCCAAAATTCTACTGGAAGCATCTCGTTGTCTGTACGCAGAAAATATGTTATGTTTTTTCTTCTTTTCTTGTAGATTTAAAATGACGCTGATTGCCACAGTTATATGTGTGCCACTTTAGAAGAAAGACAACTGGATAGCTGTATGTCCAATTGCAGATTTGCAGTATTCGTTAAGTTTTAACAAATATTATACCAATAGGGTTTTCTAAATAATAACTTCTTGATGAGTGATAGAAAATTGTCAAATGTGTAATAAGTTCTGTTTGTTTTCTTGAAAGGTTTATTTTTACTATTTTTCATAAGAATACTATGTGAAATAAAAATATGTACGGAACAAGGCAAATTCAAAGGCATGTCTAACAATCCTATTTTAGGTAAAAAATGGTGGGGAACAGGATGTGAATACCGAAGGTTCAAACTCCTTACCCAGGCCTTATCTGTGTACCGGCTATGACATCTATCTTGTCTGGGAGCCTTGTACAATGTAAGTTAGCAAAACTCATCTCTTTTCCTGTTTACATTTGTTGAAGACAAAAAAAAACTTGTAGATTGAATATATTGGATGTAGATAATTTAATCTAGTTTGGGAATGAGATTAGGAATATTTAATTTCAAATGCCAAACCTTGTAAATTTCTATTGATGGATGGGATTTGCTTGCATGTCTCTGGTTAAAAGCACAACAGTTTTGATCAGGGATTTGCTTGCTTGTCTCTAGTTAAAAGCACAATGGTTTTGATCAGGGATTTGCTTTTGTTTATATTTCAAGCTGTTTTTCTCATCGAGCACATGCTTGTTGGTTAAGCTTTGAGAACTACCTTCCGTATATTGTGTCTTCTGAATTTTAGATATCGTATTTTCATGAATCTCTACCAAATAGTCGTCTTTAGAAGAAACTTATGTTGCTCTAACTCTTCATTTTTCAAGTATCCATGTTCAACACCTGTGTCTAACACAATTTTGGACATGGCTATGGAAATATGACCTTTCAAGGACTTATCAAATAAAGACATACATCATGTCAGACACATACCGTTAATTGGAACATTCAGAAGTCCGAGTACTGTTGGTCGAAATAGTCATTGTGATGAAGATGGTACTTTTAATTTTAGCTGTAAAGATTGTGAAAGAAAGAAAGAAAAGATTTTTTCTTACCTTTAATGTGATCTGATAAATTTGGTTGTGTGTTTTGAAGGTGTGCTATGGCTCTTGTTCATCAGAGAATTAGGCGAATATTTTATGCGTTACCGAATCCTGAAGCTGGGGCATTGGGAAGTGTTCATAGGCTACAGGGTGAGAAAAGCTTAAACCATCACTATGCAGTTTTCAGGGTTGTCTTGCCTGAACTTGAATTTCCAGCGGAAAGATAGTTCTTTTGATATTTCCTACCGTTCGCACTTATTTACATTTTCCAGAAATTCATCTCTCATTATAAGAAATTGTAATGCGAAATGGTAAGTCTTAACTGTAACGGGGTAATGATAATTACATGATCCCAGGTTTTTTTTTTGGGGATAAGTGCAGAATTTTATATCCAAAAGAAAGCAAACAACCATGTACAACAGGTATATTACCCATGTACAAATAGACAGCCCCCTAAGACACCCTAAGAATTTAACCACCATTCAACACTACAACTTCCCTGCTTAACTGCCTACCCTTAATCCTGTGCAATCTGTTCAGCTTCAAATTAACATCCTTCAGGCTGGCCACCAAATCAGGACAATACGACCCTGAAAAGATCGTCTGTTCCTTTCCTCCAAATCAGGACAATACAACCCCTTCTTTCCTTCCAAATCAGGACAATACAACCCCTAAAGGATCGTCTGTTCCTTTTGTTCCAAATCAGGGTTGTATAGGATTGTCTGTTCCTTTTGTTCCAAATCAGGGCAATACAACCATTTCAAGCCAAACGAAAAACCACCGACAACAACGATTTGTCCTTAACATTCCTGCAAGCCCAGCTAAGCTTTTGATCCAACACAAAACTGGTCTAGGTGAACCACAAGCATGCAAAACCCATTTCCAAATATATCTGGAATAAGAACATTCAAACTCATTCAAACACAATATACAAGTCCCCTCTATATTGAACCCAAAAGAAATGGGTTTACTTCTTGTTGGCAGCCTATTCAAAACTGTCATTCAAGCGATAACGCAATTCCTCGGAATGTGATCCGAATGCCACACCAGTCTATCATAAGGAGTGTTATCGACACACATACAAATGTTGGAAATCAGAGTTGAAGCATCAACCAGGAGGCTTAAGAACGAGGCAGCTTTACTCTGCAACTGCAACAAACTTGACCACACCCAGCCCTCTCGAGAGAATTCAGAAACCTGCCAAAAAGAGCAACACTGCATCACTCTGTACACTATACACTGCTATGGAGTATTGGAGTTGGAAAAAAAATCTTCCCTCTGTTAGTGGCCGCTGTTCTCTCTTCCTGTAATACTAAGTCTAATATTCGTACAGTCGTGAGGAATTGCCTGACCACATTCTTTTCTCAACCAATCCAACCCCACGAAGCCCCTCCTTTGCCTTCTCCTTCTCCCCTCACGTCAACACCCTCACCGCCCAGTCTGTTGGGGCGGCATCTCTCCTGTCGTTTCAGATGAATGAATCACCAGGTTGTTTCCGACTCTCACGCTTAAGGCTTTGATTTCTTTGATACACACTCCTCAAAATGCCGTCGGCATGGCTGTCCTTTAGATTTATGTTCTACTTGGCTTGGAAGACAATGATAAGCTAAGCGTTTTTATATTTCGTATGAAATGTAAGATTGGAGTGATCAAAACATGAAATAAACAAAACTTGGACATACATTGTTTGGACTTAGTTTCTTCCATTTCTAGCAGAGTAGAATTATTACAAAGCAAATTAACTTTCTTATCCCAAAATCCTTATGGCTTTCAAATTCATGGTTCGAGTGGCATGTTTTATGATTTTTATCAATATGTTAGAAGAAGACCCAAATTACTAATTTGTTGCTTTGTTTTTCCCCTGAAAAGATGTTGTCATAGTTAGGCTATATATATTTGCATATATTGCTCGAAGGTTTGCTCAAAATTATATCTTTGAGGTACTTAATCGTTGCCAGGTTTGCTTTCCTTGAGGTTCAGAGATCATCAATGCTCATCTTCTTTAAACACGGAAGATGATGTAAATATTGCTTCTCTCATAAACACACGCAGCATTGAGCAATTAATGGAAGTGCAGAAATATTTTTTAGCGTAGACATATATTAACAACACGATACCTTTAGTTGACCTTTAATTATAATTTTATGTACACAAATAAAATCTCAGGGTGAACACTATCCGAATTATTTTCTACCTGTTTGAAAGAAGTATGGAGAGAAAAGCTCACAAAAAAAATATGTTAAGGGGTGATATGTTAGGAGCTGGTCAAGGGATGAACTAATATTTCAGCAATATTACCATAATACCATCAGTGATCTGACGGAAAGCTATTTTAGGCTTTCCATTAATGTCGATCAATTTGCAGCCCATATGTACAGTGATAGTGTGGAAAGAAGAATATTTTGGCTTAGTGAGGATGGTTTCAAACATTTCATATCAAGCCAGTGGGAGGTCTTACCTTGTGTTGTAAGAAGATCCTCCAGTGCTCCATTGGTGGTGGATGAAATATTCACATCCAAATGCAATCTCCTAGTTTTAAAGATTCATTCCCTGCTGTTCTCTCTTCTGTCCTTCAAGATCTAAGTTCCTGCTTGCCTATTGATTCCGATGAAGCACTGGAAGATTTTTACTGATTCGAGGAAGGGAAAACATCCGAGGACATGACTGGGATAGACAGGGATAAAAGATATATTTGCTGTATAGGGATGGCGGAAAGTGTTTTCATGGATATCAAATTGAAGTTCTGCAATACGACGATGTTACTGCAAACTATAAGAAATTTGAATGGAAAGTATAAGGAGGTTAGAAAGCAGTATATGAAAGGAATGTTGTCTCGACAAACTGTATGATTGCATCTGCATATTGAACGATTTTCTCAATTCAATTTGTTTCCTTCAAATTAGAATTCATTACATTTCTAGGCTTCATTGCAATGCTTACATGAGAAATTACTGTATAAATTAAGTGAATAAAAATTCTATGGCATAGGATGTTTGGGGATTGGAGTTGGATGAGTAGCGACCCCATGGTAATCTATGTGGTAATCAACTGTCTGATCATTATCATCATCCATATTTTCTTCCCATATTGATTCATCAAGTACCTCCTGCATAGTGCATGCACACCATGATCAATTTCCTTAATTGTTTCAGGAGGCATAATAAGATGAAATGTGCAGGCTTAGTCTTCATTGTTTGTATTGCAGAAATAATGACTTTTCTCTATGTGGAAATAAGTTAATACTTATAGACTAGTAGGAAAATTTTTAAAATGCAATTGAACTGACGTTTAATTAATTATTGTTGTTTGGGTAGGGAGTTTACGTGTGAGCCCCATGCCCCATCATTTTCTGTTGCTGACTTGCTTCCAACACTCACCGCCATGGATGAACCGAGGGGCAAATGGGAAGTGACAGTCTCTTTGAATTTTGAAATTTTCATATAATTCAATATAAATTATATTACTATTGATAATCTAATTTTATAATTCGTTTTTTTTAGACCCACCAACTCAAATCTCCTCCATCACCATCTGTCTTTGATTTCTTGGTTATACGTTAATCCAAGAGTGCTTGTGGTTGAACATGGTTATTACGTGAAGAGGGAAAAGGGCAGTGAAAGGAGGGGGTAAGGGACCAATGGGGTGAAATGGAGCAGAAACGAGAAGAAATGGGTTCACGTGAAACAAAACAACTCACCTTGAGGCCTTATCCATGCTTTGTCTTCACCAATAATGACTAAAGTCTCCTGTGGGAATCTCTTTACATTTTCTTTTACTTAAAATTTTAAAATCATTCTCAACAACCTCCAACCTCCCATCATTATCCATTAATCAAGTAGTGTTTTACTATACTCCAATGAAAATACAATACTACAGGTCTAAAACGAAGAAAGATCACCGTGAACACTTTCTTTTGACAGTTTTCTTTTAATGTACTGAATAAGTCTTTTTGTCTTTCTTGATGATTTAATTTCACATCTTCTGAAAATTAACTAAATTCAAGCAATTGGTTTCACTCAGAGAGAAGCAGGCCTGTAAATGAACCATGCTAAAAGAAACTATAGCCCTCGAGTCAATGTTCATTTACCTCTTAATTGTTTGTGTTCGGTGTTTTAAATTGAATTTTAATAAAACTAACTGTTTCGAACCTAAAAACTAAACAAACATATTTACGAGTTTAATTCATTTCATAAACAAACCTTAAAATCTTGTTCATGATAAACACACCATTGCTCAATCATTAGTTTTCCTAAAGTAATATGCACATCCGGATGCATGCAAGCTCACGAACAATACTCAACACAGTAAGCTCCATAAATTCTTTATCCATGGATTAAGCTTCCTGAAATCACTTATATACAACAAATTATTATCAAGTTGGAAACATGTGTACTTGCAGTTTCAGTCAATGAAACAACAATCAAAACTGTCTCACCTGAAGCCCAACTTCTGGAAGTGAATGATGTTGTTTCCTTGGGCTTGAAGGGACACTCCTGAACTTGGGGACGACAACCTTGAAATTTGGCAAAAATATCATGTAGAGTATGGCCAAAATAATGGGTGCCGCAACAAGCCATCCCAACAACTGCAGCAATTTCCATAAGATGATTTTCAAATTTAATTCCATATTGATAAGACAAGTCTCAAATAATGAACAATCACAAAAAGTCCCAAATGCCATCTTTTGATAAAATTACATCACCTTAAGCATACAGGATAAAAACCTTTCCACTTCAGACTATACTAATGTCAAGTTGAAGAACAGAGTAGATTGTTTAAAACTACAGTAAAACAGAATGGGGGAATGAATTATACTATCGGATAAATTGTCTATAGGTTCATAGTTTTTGGACTCTTCAGCATTAAAGCTGATGTCACGGTGGAGATAAGAGATATGGAAGCAATTATAGAATACCCTGGAGAATTACATCTGTGTTTAATGCAGAGTATCTAGAAGGAAATGAATAAACATTCTTTCTAAAAATGGGAAATAACCTAAGCAAGCACAAACTTAAAATAATGTTCTAAACGAAAAGATACTTTACAATCTGTATAGATTCAGCCTTTCTTCAAAGTTTCCTCTCTCTCTCTCTCTCTCTAGACTTTCAAATCATAAAGTTTTCAGTTTTTTCTTGTACAATTTGTCCACATAGGATAAACCTTTGCATTATTTATTGATATATCTTCATAACAATATTAGTATCATCTTTATGAGATTAATGACACATTGGAACATGAACTATGATCTATTATTCAATTTGGTACCAAAAGTTTGAATATTGGCAATTAGATACACAATCTTTGCCTCAGTTAAATAGCTTGCACCTTTAAGATAACTCTGTTAATCAAGATTTAGAAAAGAACAGCAGATGTGAGGGTGCGCAAATCTTAACTCCTATTTATAGTTCTTGACATGTAACCCCATTTGTATAACAGAGTTTGTAAGCTGTTCAGTCTACAACAGGGAATAAAAGTTGAAGTACTTAATTGCAAAGTTATTTTTCTTCAAATATCAAATTGATAATTTCATTATAATTCAAGTAGCAAATATGTAAGTGGCCCTTTTTTATATTATGCCGGGAGAGGAAACCATTGACAGCAAATATCTTTAAAGTTCTTACATAGAAATGAACAAGTATGCAAGCTAGTTCATCTCTATTTCTAGATGATGTTATGATACATGCCCCATAGATAATATTTGATTTTCTATCAACGAGATCAGAGATAGATGAAGGCATAGTAAAATGTCTGTAAGCAAATTTCCATTCAAACAAGTTGCAAAAGAAAAAATCAATTTTCACATAGACACGCAAATCTAGATGAAGAAATTAAAATGTTAAGGTAAAGTTGAGCAAAAAACAAATTCAGATGACTAATCGATTCAACACTAATTCATGATTGCTACCATTATCCAAACACCATTAGAATAAAGTAGGGTTCTTGGGGAAATCCTCATCACCAAAATTTCAAGCTTCTAAGCTCAATTTGATTCAATCAACAGTTTAATATTTCAATCCTATCAAAATTGACATCTCTATCTACCATAATATGAAAACCAAATCTATAAGATGAAATCAAATAAAGTTCAAGGAGGAACAAGCATATGATCAAAAGAAAAGTTAAACAAGTTACGAGCAGAAAATGAATACTTACAGCACGGGCAATACTAAAGAGGAGCTCACTCGAAGCTTGGCCAGACAAAACTTTCTTCAAAGCATTAGAAGTTAGGGGAAATGAGGTCCACCCGATAACATTTCACCAAAGCGAAGGAAGGGCACCACCAGACTAGACGACAAGGTAGATCCAACCACGGATAAAACAAAGTGAAATGAAGGTAAATTTGCACTCCGAAAAGGAGGGCAAAAGGCTAAAAAAAATAGAATGAAAACAGAAGAAGTAATCACCTCAACTCGATCGGAGTAGCCAAGAAGTTAGCAAGCATGACAGTTGGAGAGTGGCAGTGAGATCCCAACAACGCTATTGCCATCCCACAAAGCAAGACTGTAACCCCTGCAGTATAAACCAATCAAAAGAAAAGCAAAGAAATAACAAAAAAGAAAGAAAGAAAGAAAAGGAAACATTACCGCATATTGGGAAAATTCCCAAAGTAATTCCCAGCGCTGCAGAGAATGCCAACTGCCTGGGTTCTGCTCCCCTGTAATAGGAAACCAATCAGATTTATTGATAAAATATATGAATGAAATTTGGAGCTGTAGCTTACTTGAGGAGGATCTGGAGAAGAGGATCCACGATCTTTTTGTTGAACCAAACCTTCATTGCCATAATGATAGAAAAACTGGAAATCTTTGATTAGATTTTGCAAAAATTGCTTCTCTCCTATACCTGATTTGAGACTGACTAACAAATTTATTTATTTTTTTAATCTTCAAATAATATTAATTTCAGTGGGGGGAAATAAATACTGGAAAATAGGTAGAGGAAGAGAGCAATGAATGAACCGTTTCCCCCTTACCATAATTTATACGAGAGAGGCGCATTTGATGTGAGTGAAGTGCGATTAATTTAAGTTAGTGAAAATAGAAGTAAATTTGGGTTATAATTTGATTTAGTGAAAAAATAATTTATAATAATGTTTTAATGTTTAATTAATATTAAGTATTTTTAGTTAATAGTTTACTTTTTTATTAATTTTGTATTACATAATACTTTATTAAATTTTATAAATAATTTAATTTTGAATAAAACTGAATGTATTTAACTTTCTTTTGTCAAGTTAAAAAAATAATATAAAATAATTGAATTTAAATTATCTTAATGGTTAAAGAGATAATTATTATTCTTAGAGATTCAAGGTTCAAACATTAAATATTACAAGGATAATAAATTATTAATGTTAAATTATTAAAAACATTTAAAATAAATACTACCATCTAATCATTGGTAATTAATAAAAAAAAACAACAAAATAAATTATAGAAATGAATTCCCGTTGTGATTGTATGAAATTATATAGTACTGTAAAAATTTGGTTGCGCCCTTTAGATGGTTACGTGCAACAGAGGTAATGAAAAGAACCAATAAAAGGAATCATTTTAGTTAATTGCACCATACTCTTTAAATTATAATTTTTATTTTAAATTTAATTTAGAATTATAAATTTTAATTTTTTCTCATTTTTTAATATTTTAAATTTATATTCAAATTATGACTTTTATTTCAAATTAACCCTTATATTTTTTAACATTTTAATTTAATCTTTAAACTATCAATAAATAATAGCCGCGTCCTCTTCCAATAATATTATTTTAAAAAGTATAAATTATCATGTGAATATTGATCTACGTTATGTAATAGTATAACGTATCATAAATGATTATTAATATTATATTAAAATCATTATTTAAAAAGGTAGTATTATGCATTTTAATTAAGTCTATTAGAAGTCTAAATATTATATCTAAAAAGTTTATTTTAATTCTTCTACTATAAAAAAATATTTTAGTCCTTTTACTAAATTTAAAATTTTATTTTGATTCATCCACTACAAAAATAAATATTATAGTCATGTTTTAAAAGTCAAAATTTGGTTCAAAATCCTAAAATTATTGTTAATTGACTTAAATATTATATTTTAAATAAAAATATATAAAATAAGTTCTTAGAATAAATCCTATTTTTTGATATTATTTTATTTTATTTAAAGATGTTATTCATTATAATATATTTTTTATAATGGAATAAATCCTAAAAAGATGTTATGCACGTGATTAAATAGTGTCGACAAATGTCATATAGATGGACCCTCAAAAGAGAGTTGAAATCAATAAAGTCAAGCACGATTAGTTTACGCAGTGTACAGAAATATCTTCATCACATCAAATACTTGGAAAATGAAGAAGAATGTTCATCGTGTCAAAGAAAAACCTTCTTCAAGGCATTGTGTTCTTTTATCTTGCATGGTACGTTGAAGTAAACTGGGGTTGCTAGTGACAATGGCATCCGTGTGCGCATGCAACATCCTCGTCATGGAATCGGCATCGTCGACAGTCCAGGCATATACCTTCTTCTCTCTCCTGTCGAAGACCATAACAGATCGAGCAATGGATCAAATTTGCATAACTGAATACACATCAATTACACCAATAACCAGCTCAAAATGAGTTTCGTACCCATGCAGAGTCTTAACCAATCTTTCATCGATCAATTGATGGTATACGCCAGTTACCTTGGCCCCTTTCATTCTAAATAAGCTACATCGAGCCCCAGTATGGGGATCCACCATTATAATGTAGCCTACCTGTGAGTTCATCCACAAACCGGTCAAATGCATAGAAAGAGTTGTTATCGTCAAAACTTCAACAACTTATACAGTATAGACTTAGTTATCGAGTTCAAGAATTATAATACAGAATAGATATTTTTCTAAAATCCAAAGAACGGATCCTGCAAGAACAAGTCGGACATTCTGTAATTTCACAAAGAAACGACATGAAACACAATATGGCAACACAAAATTCCGGGTCTAGTATTAGATATTGAAGAGTTTATTTTTTCAGAATCGAAAATCTATGAGAACTTTAAACAACACGGGTGAATCGATCAGTGAAAAGGAAGGAAAAAGGAAAACAAAAGCAGAAGAGAAGGGAAAAAAATTTTGAGGTCACATATGTGAAAGGACAAGTTGCACAGGATAAAGAGGTCTTTGGGTTTCACCATGGCAGCTGGAATCCCGGTTTGAAACAACTGGTCTGATTTCTTGGTAAGCCGGATTTTGAATGAGTTGGAAGGAATAGTCAAATCAAATCAGTTACAAATATGACTGTATTGAAGCATGTGATAGTTTGCCAATCCACTCGGAAAGAATTTTCATTACCCATAGAAAGTTACTATTATACACTCCACAATCTTGCTCGAATTATGTAAGATAGCCATTCATAAGACATCGCAAGAACCCTTCCAATAGTAGTAACTTCTCTAGGGGGGAAAATCCAAAATAGCTCAGAACAGTATAATTCTTCTCACCATAAGATCCGATGAGAGTTTGATTATGTCCCTCACTAAACTGTCGCTTTTAGCCCAAACGAGGCAATTCTTACACCGCATCTTCTCAACCTGAAAATTTTTATAATAGAACTTTAAAGCAAAATGTTTTTGAATTAAAAAAGCCTGTTGGATAAAACAGTAAAATACTTCAAGCATTGTCTACTAAAAGAATATACTTAAATTTATTTGAAATTTTCAATTCATCTTTTCTATCGATATAGACCGATACAGTCCCACAGTTTTCTCAATCAACTTTAAAGCAGGTAAAACCGTAATATTCCCATGCATTTCTTTCTAGTAAACCTCATAAGTATTTCAAAGTCCAAATTAATTTGGCAATATTTTCTTGCTCCTTCATATTTAAGTATCAGAGATATCATAAACAATAATAGTCTGTCACAATCACATTGAAAAACTAGTCATGACAGGAGAATAGATAGAAGAAAAATAAGTGCAGTGCATAATGCCTCATTTACACATTTCTAAATCAAAAGTTCCAAGAAATCAAGACAAAGGCAGAAGGGGCAAAATAACTCACAGCAGAAAGAATATCTTTTGCAAGTTCCTTTTCATATAATGGAGGCCCCACCTTGGCATCTAGAATCACCTGCCTAACTGATGCCGTTATAAACTGAATATTAAGATGAACCATAATCAGATATTCATCATTACCTTTTGATAGAATAAACTATCAACAACAGAATCTAGTGTATAGACGAAAAACTATCCTAAACATACCGTCAAAGCCTCTTCAATTGTAGGAATCTTTGAATTACCAGACTGATGATAGACATCAAGTTCTTTTATCTACAAAGCAAAACAAAGAATATCAATCAACATTACTCACCAATATAATTCATACTATCTAGTATCTTAAAAAGCACATATTGCCAAAAAAAAATCAATTGATCAATTAAGACCTCATATACAAAGAATTTTTCACAAGATATATATTGATTCTTCTTGTTCAGACTAAAATATTAGCTGAACGAGCAAGACATTAAAGAAATTAATATTTCCTTGCTTAAGCTCAAAGAAAACACATTTTCTCGAATCCAATATTTTACAAGGAAAACCATAAAAATTTTAATCAGAAATGGGAAGGCATGCCGCAAAATAAACATATTAACAAGATCAAACTGAACAGTCAAATCAGATAGAAAGAAATGACATTATCTTAATTCAGCAATTTATATTTTTTTCTTTTTCTGGTTTGGGCCTCGATCCTTGTTTGTATGACATACATAAAGCACAATAATTAGGTGTCATTAGTTATGAAAGTAAAAATGGATTCTTTAGAACTCAGCAAAACAAGCGAAGAATATATTCAGAAATATTTTCACCTCGTGTGATCTCAAATGTCCAACTTTAGAAGTGCTGTTACCAGATATTCGCTGCAAATCCCTGCCTGTGTAACATAAAAATCAAGTCTCCAAACAGCTGCAATATAAGCTTGCAATAAAAATGCAGGAAGATAGACCAGATTTGTAATCCAACAATACCAAGCAATTATTGCATTAAGTATTACACATTATTTTGTTATTCTGCTAAACCCTTTTAATACTACCCACCCACAAAATGCACTTTCAGATTACTTAAAAAGTCACTTAACTTACTAGTAAATGGTTTTCCTTAACACCTTACTCTAGAAAATCAGCAAAGATGAAAAGAAAAGGAATTACCATTTTTTGAGTTTGCAAAAAGAACAAAGAGTAATAATATTGTAAATAAAGGAACAAATAAAGTAATCCGAAACCTTGGTTCAAACTCCCACCAATATGCAGCAATCTAATAAATCAGAATCAGTACAGATGTAATGAAAAATCCAAGACCATGTCCTGAACTGAATGTATGAATTATGATAGTATTCAACTAATTATTATTCCACCAATTATATGAGACAACACATGAAGATTAACACCAAAAGATTAGAGGACCTGGACTGCGAGGGATGTGGAATATAAATGAAAAGATGTTGCTTACATCTTAAGTGTCAACATTTCAGCAAAAGCACTGGGTTTTTTTTTTAAATATTTCTATATAATTAAGATACATCAAGAAAATTTAAAATCCATATATATTAAACACAGGAGTAAACGGCTAATAAATCAACAAACTGACTGCAGCATTTTTTTAAAATAAAAATGACTACTGAAACCATTCAGGGAAGTAAAGTACACATGAATTAGAAGATCACATAACAGGTACATTGGCCACAAAAATTTTAGTCAGAGAATGAGTGCGACTGGTACAGAGAGAAATAGAGGAAATTTGAAAAAGTTCAGTGCTTCCGGTGAGGAATGGACAGCGTTCATTGATAATCTTAGTAAGAGGGTTTCAAGACGTGTGATATGGGATTTTTTTAGTCCATATGGTCAGATTTTAAGAATATTCATTCCAAGGTTTTTAGAGAAATCAAACTACAAGTCCTCGACGTTTGCTTTTGTCCAATTTGCTAATGAGGAAAGTAGGAAGAGAGCTATCCAGTATGTGAATGGGAAGTGGTTTGATGGGAGGAGAATATACGAAGGGGTTGCTAAGTATCAAAAGGTAAATAGGAAGGAGGATGTTGATGGGAAGAGCACGGTGATGATCAAGTCAAGAAAGCAGGATTCGATTCAGAATGGGGTAAAGGCATAGTCGATGAAAAGCTTCAGGGATGGTAGATCGTATAAGGAAGTTGTGAAGTCTGATGTTATCAGGAGAAGAGAACAAGAGCCAAAGATTAACGTGGAGGGTAGGAAGCGGACAGCTACTGGTGTGAGGAATGTGTGGGAGATGCATATTTCGACTAACGATTCGGAATGGGTTAAACGTTCATTAACAGGTATAATGAAATCATCTTATGAGTACGAGTCGTTAAAAGAATCTTGGGAGTTGGAGGGATTGAGAGTTCAAGTGTCGCGATGGGGATATGCTTGGAAGGCTTGTATCATCACATTTGCCTCGGTTGAGGAATTCTCTTATGTTTGGGAGAATAAGATGGAAGAGCTATCCTCGTGTTTCGATTGGTTAGCTCCGGTATTAAATGAGAATGGAATACCTTTGTCGTTGTGCCAGTTAGAATTGTGTGGTTTGCCTTTACTGTGCTGGAATGAGGCTTTCTTGGAGAAACTTATAGGGAAATGGGGAAGGTTCATTTGTTTCAAGGATGAATCAAAACATAGATATGATCTCTCGTCTGCAAAGGTTTTGCTTAGGGTGGAGAGTCCATTCGATGTTCCTGATTCAATTACAGTAGGCTCTTGTGGTAGATCTTTCAAAGTTAAGATTTCCATGGGGTCTGTGTGATTCAACCGAAGGAGTCGGGGAGGAAGAGGATGAGAAAATTTCAAATAAGTTGAGCAGTGATTATGTCTTTTCTGAAGCAGGGGATGATTGTGTTCCTGCTATGGCAGTTGACAGAGAAGAGCCAGTAGAGCTTTCTAGGCAGAAAGTTATCTCATGGTTGAATAATGGCCATAACAGTGATATGAATGGAGTTAGTGGGGACAGGCTGCATCAAGGAAGTCAAATGCAGAAAACTCTAATTGTGGGCTGTCAGGTTTGTGGAAAGTAGGTCAATCCAAGTGGGAGGTCACGTGGGGCTAGGTCTGGGAGAAAATATTTTAGAAGAGGCCAAATCTGATGACAACGAGGTTGCCTTATCCCGTATTAAGAAAATTAGACCTTCTGGGCCTGCTTATAATATAAAATGGATTGGAGATAAATTCATTCTACAGCCCAATTTCAGTTCAGCTAATTCTATGAATTCTAAAGAAGATGTTGAGCCTAGGCGAGTAACAATAATTTCAGGGGGGGAAGGGAACTGGCGCAAGGGGATAAGAGTGTTGACTTGGTTGTAGAGAAGCCTGTTGGGCATAGGAGTATGCAGGAGGATATTATTTTAGGTCCTAATAGGCAGAATATTTTTTGAAGGGATAAAGTATCAAGTGACCAAGTGGTTGTTTCAAAGAAGAGGAAGGAGGTTTTGGAGGATTACCAGGGCAGTCTTAAGGAGGGTAGTGTTTCTAATTTGAGTGTCAAAGAACGAATGTCGGTCTTAAGAGATGGAACTAGTTCAGGAACAATGGTGGTTGACAGGAATTTAATTAAGGAAAGCAGTTTGGATTCTTCAAATATTCTATTCAGGAATTTTCTCGGGCAAAAAATTCAATGAATCGGAGAAGGTTAAGAATGGCTCCATGTCATTCGGGTAGTGTGTGTTCGGAGGGTGAAGTGGAGGTGAGCTTTTATGATAGAGTTTATAGGAGGGTGATTAATAGTATGGTCAGGGAATCCTTGGAACATGTCAGGGAGGACTCTCAGCCTTCTCAAGAGTATGTTAAAGCCAAAGCCGAAGCTGCAGCTACTAGGGAAGTATGTGAAATGCTATGAATTTCTTTTAAAGGGGGTATCAGATGATAGAAGAAGATATTTTCAGGTTGGAGATGTTGGGGTCTGGAAGGGTTTCGGATTATAGTTTGAGGAGCGATTTGGGTGTTGTATGATATAAATCAAATGTCAAAAGTAAAAATTATCACATGGAATATTAGGGGGCTGGGGAAAACTGAAAAAATCAGAGCAGTGTCAAGATTGGTTTATAGAGAAAAGTCGGTAATTTTTTTGATAAGAATTACAGGCCTCATTAAAAACCCCCTTCTTGACTAAAGGAACTTTTGAGAAAGTTCCTTAATCAGTGAAGAGAGGAAAAGAGTGCCTTAGGATTTATTTCTCAAGAGAACATAGTACATAAGAAACACCCCAGACTGACTAAACACCATAAAAAATACAGACCAATTATCACAACCAGTCTGCCCCTATACAATAGCGAAACTACCACATCCCCTACAACCACAATAACCCAAACCCCTGAATGACCTCTAAAACTATGATGTGTGTCAGCCAATCCCTGTTTCGCTAAGGTATCAGCCTCACAATTACAATTCCTCGGAATATGTCTAATAATGATCGCCCTCTCCGAATGATCAGAAATTTAAAGCATGATGAGTGAGAAAGTTAGTGAGAGAGTGAGAGTGGCGCATGGTATTGGTTCTTCAGACAGAGGCGGAGCACTGCCTGGCGAAGGAGTATGGGTAGCTTTCATTGATAATCTTAGCAGGAGAGTTCATAGAAGTGTTTTATGGGAGGTTTTAGTTATTTCGCAAGGTGATTAAAGTATTCATTCCGTTCGTTAATAGTAGGCCAAAGTACAAGGACTACACATTCGCCTTTGTGCATTTTGCAAGTGAGGAGGGACTGTTCAAGGCAATGGATAGGATGAATAACGTGTGGTAGACGGTAGGAGAATATCGGTGTCGATTGCAAATATCAGAAGAGGGCGTTCAGAGAGGCCGTGAGCAAGTTCCTGGAGCGGGGTCAGGAGTGGAAAGAGAAAGGAGTCGAGTGGGAAGAGACCAATAAGCCTTGTTGAGACTAGGAAGAGGGAGTTGCTTAGTAATTTTCACGATGGAAGATCTTACAAGGAGGCGGTAGTGGGAAGGGATATTAAGGAGAACCAGCAGAGGAATAGTGGTTGCGATGTGAAGGGGGGTAAGAAGACTTTGGATGTGCATATTCCATTGGAAGAAAGAACTTGGTTAAGATCATCTCTAACTGGTATATGTAAGCATATTTTCGAGGTGGAGCTTGTGCAAAGAAGTCTAAGGACTGAGGGCTTCAAGGTCAAGGTGGTAAGGTGGGGTTTTGCGAAAAATGCCTGTCTGATTGTCTTTCAGTCGGTGGAAGAGAAAACAGCAGCGGTGAAGGATAAATGGGAGGCACTGTCTTTTTGGTTCGAAAGGCTCGAGCCTGTTATGGAGGAGAAGGGTGTTCCTTTATCTTTCTGTGCAGTGTCTTTGATGGGTGTCCCTGAACTGTTGGTCAGTTCCCTTCTTCTCTAGCTTAGCAGAGAGATGGGGCAAGTTAGTAAAGATTCAGGAGCAAACTGCTCAAAGAACGGATTGCAGGGTGGCTCAATTGTTGATAAGTGGAAAGTCCATTTGATATTCCGTCCCAGGTATCATTAATATATATGGCAGATCATTTATTATTAAAATCAAAGTGGAAGGATGTGATGAGTTTTTTCCGGAGCTGGATGATGGAGTGGAGGAAGCTGGTTCTGTGGAAGGACGAGTCGACCCGGGGGAAGAAACTCATTCGGAAGGGAACATAGGAGATGATAGAGAAGTTGCAAGGACAGTTGAATTTTCAGCCGATGTCAGGAGCCTTTCATGGGGTTGACACGCTGTTTGATGGCAATTTGAATTTAAAAGTGGAAGTCAATGATATTACAGGGACTGTCCAGACTGAGCAGGGGACAGTACTAGGTAAGGTTAAAAGTAGGAAGAACGTGTCAGAAACCTTCTCTGCTGAGAGAAAAAGGTTGTGTAGTTTGGGAGGTGAATCCTCGGGGCAAGATAAAGGTGGTAAAGACTGGGGATTTACCCCAAAACGGGCATATGTGGGGTTGGGCCTGAGAGAGGGTATATTTCTTCAGCCCAAGGTTGTCCTGTGGAGAATGAAAATATTTTCCAGGACCAAACTCTTTTCCAAACATATGTGGAAAATAATAATTTCATGGGGGAGGGGTGAAGGAAAACACAAGGAATTGGAAGAGTGGGCTAAGGGTGGTAAAGAACGTAAATCTAAAAGGCTGTTAGCAATCCAAATGGGGAGAGGTGTAAGAGATGAGAGTGGGATATCAGGTTTCGAAGGATTGTCAATTAGTAATAATTCTGAAGGTGTGAGGGGTGTGGACGTATTGATAGGGTTACAGAAGGTCGAAAACAAGAAGAGTATGGCTATGTTCAGAAAAGAGCCATAAGCAGTCAAAACAGCTGGTTCTTCATAATTTTAAGCAACTTTCTTCAGTGGCAGAGGATAGCGGCCAAGGCAAGATGTAACAGGTTTCTGGGCAAATCCAGAATACTTCTACGGGGCATATGAAGAGCGTTCTTCTCCAACCAGGGGGGCAGACCCTCTATTATTTCAAAAAAGTCGAAGATTGTACAAAAGAGAGAAGAGCTTAATTGCAAGATGCTTTGGCAAGTGCAGAAGTTCTACAGTCTATTCTCGGTCCTTCTCTAAAGTTTTGGAGGAAGCATTGTCTACTTGGGAAGTTGTCAGTTAGGCATTTCTTTTAAGGAAGGGAGGGAGGCTTTCATGGATAAAATTAGAATGATGGAGGAAGGAGCAGGGGGGGTAATGAAGCAGGTCAGTGACCAGTTGCTGTGTCATGCAGGTTTCGGTAGGAAATGCATATGATGGAGTGCAATCTTATTTCGTGGAATGTTAGGGGATTAGTAGGAGAAAAATTAGAGGTGTCGAGACTTGTTAATAAGATTAAACCGGTTATATTGTTTGTACAGGACTAAACTAAATAAAAGTCAGAAGGGATTGAAGAGGAAGTTAGGAGGAAAGCTATTAAGGAGCAAGTATTCAGCCAGCGATGGTCTGCTGGTGGACTGATGTGTTTTGTGGATGATGATGTTTTTGAGGTAAATGACGTGGCCAACCATAGTAGATTCCAGATGCTAAAAGGAAGGTTCAAGGTGTCTAAGACGGAGGTGTTTTTATCAATGTATATGGCATTCGGTTGAGGATCGGTTGAACATGCTTATGCTTAGAAACAGATGAGAGATTGGTGCCTCTCAAACTGGCATTCAATGGGCCTGCTTAGGAATTTCTTACAAAATTCGAATCTAATTGACCTCCCTTTGGTAGGTGGCACCTTCACATGGGGAAATAGAGAGGTTACCACATGGGTTAGGCTGGATCGTTTCTTGTTGAGCAGCACTTCTTAATTGCTTCCCCAAGGTGGTTCAGAAACTTCTCCCTAGATCTCTTTCTGATCACAACCCGATTCTATGGCGGAAGATGGGAAGAATTGGGGACCGAAACCATTTCGGTTTTTCAACTATTTGAGAGGAGGATGGCTTTTGTATATGGTTCAAATGTAGTGTCAGATCAGGCCAACGATAGAGGGGGAAGCAGAATGTTCATTTATTAAAGGAACCAAAAACTTATCAAGGAATGGCCAATCAGAAGTAAACAGGGGATATCGAGGCTATTACTGGGTTAGAGAGTAAATTTATGATCTGGAAATAAGGCACAAAGCAGTGATTATCTTCTTCGGACTGGGAACAGCTTCTATCTTCCAGAAATGAGCTATGGAAATGTTTAGAATCGAGGAAAGTATTTGGGCTTCAATGTCGAGACAGAAATGGATTAAAGACGGAGACAGGACACTAGTTCTTCCACCTATGTCTGTTAACAGAAACAGATTCAACTCTATTTCGGAATTGAAAGTGGGAGGGGGAGGTGTTGACAGACCCAGAAGCAATAAAAGTTGATGTCTCTCAGTTCTTCAAGAAAGCATATAATTCCAGAGATTTTCTAGAGGTAGACAACTTGAACCTGAATTTTGACATATTGAGAGAAGAGCAAAGGAAGGGCCTCGGGTTATTTTTTCAGAAGAGGAAGTAAAGGAGGCCATTTTTTCCTCGGATAGCTCTAAAGCCCCTGATGGTTTTACAATGGGGTTTTATAAGAAAGTTTGGCCAATTATAAAAGGAAATCTTATGAAGTTTATGGAGGACTTTTACTATGGAAGAAAATGGGATCATGGAGTCAATCATGCGTTCATTTCTCTGATTCCAAGAAAGGCAATCCGGAATGTATTGAAGATTACAGACCTATAAGTCTAGTCGGCAGTCTCTATAAAATCGTCTCCAAGGTTTTAGCAAGGAGATTAGTTTCGGTGATCCAAGATATTGTGAGCCCTTCACAGTTTGCATTCATTCCGGGGAGACAATTACAAGATTGTGCTTTTTGCAATGAAAGTATAGATAGTTGGCGGAAGCGAGGGCTGAAAGGGGTGGTTTTCAAAGCTGATTTTCAGAGGGCTTATGACACGGTTGAATGGCCAATTATTTTAAGATTACTGAGAGTCATGGGTTTCGGGAGAGATGGGTTTCCTGGATAGAATGTTGCCTCTCTACGGCGTCGATATCGGTATTAGTGAACGGTTCACCTACAGAGAAGTTCTCGATGGCCAAAGGATTGAGACAAGGATGTAGTTTGTCTCCTCTATTGTTTAACTAGTGGGGGAGCTGTTAAATCGTATGTTGAGGAAAGCAGCGGATGTGGGATTTTTTCAGGGCTTCACTTTTGGAAGGTCGGGTGCCCTCAGTCTAACTCACCTACAGTTTGCGGATGACTTGATTGTGTTTTGCCGAGACTCAACTTCCTACTCCTCAATATTAAAAGAGTCCTGAGAACTTTAGCATAATGACTGGTCTCCATTTGAATATGTCGAAGAGTAGTCTGTATGGAATCAATGTGGAGGGCGAGGTATTGAATGAATGGGCTAAGGAGATTGGTTGTGCTGTTGGGTTTTCCAGTAATGTATCTAGGGTTACCAGTAGGTGCAAAAAGGAACTCAGAGGCTCTTTGGGAGCCAGTCATACACAGTTTTAACAAGAAACTAGCCGGATGGAAAGCTTCACTTTCTATGGCGGGGAGATTAGTGTTGATCAAATCAGTTTTATCCTCCCTGCCAATTTTTTCCTCTATTTTCAGAATTCCGAGTAAGGTCTACAGGAAACTAAATTCTATTATGGCAAACTTTCTGTGGGGGGAGGGTTCTTCAAAAAGCAGAATTCACTGGGTGAATTGAAAAAGGGTGTGTCTTTCCGTAGAGGAGGGTGGGCTGGGAGTCTTGGATTTGAATTTTGCTAACAGAGTACTACTAGGCAAATGGGTATGGAAATTCGCTAATGAGAAAGACTCACTATGGAAGAACTGATTGCAGTATACACAATGCGAGTACTATGTCTTTAGACCTTAACAAGGTAATCTCTCCTTCGGATTCTTGGATATGGAAGGGGATTACAAGAAATTACTTGGCAGAGGATGCAATTGGAAATGGTTTAAGATCTCACTCGAAGATACAAGTAGGTAAAGGAAAGTCGATTGTATTTTGGCATGATGTGTGGCTAAATGAGGAATCCTTGAAAGGTCAATTTCCGAGAATATATGCTCTATCCAACAATAGGTGGGGAAAAGTTTCAGAGTTTGGAAGTATAATAGGCAATAAGTGGATTTGGAACATTCAAACGAGAAGGAATATCTGTGACTGGGAGATGGAGCACTGGATTTGACTGATGACACTATTGGAGAACGTGGGGCTATCGGAATCGGTGGATGATTTTTTGGCGTGGTCGGGAAAGGGTCATGGATTGTTTACGGCTAAAGCCTGCAGGTTGACACTTTCTTCTAACTCAGGGGGCAGTCTCACTTGGAAGAAATTCGTTTGGTCAGGTTTGGCCCCACCGAGAGTCGAAACTTTCCTATGGCAGGTTTCCCATCGAAGACTGGCAGTCAGATCGGAGCTGATAAAAAGGGGTGTTACGTTGGAGGAGGTGTCTTGCCCGTTATGTGCTAAGCAAGAGGAAACAGTTCAGCATTTGTTTATCTCGTGTCAGGTTGCATGGGATTTATGGAGCAGTTTCTGGAGGTTATGGGGAGTTTCGGCAGTTTTACCTAATGATCCAGCCTCTCTGTTGTGTTCCTGGTCGGACTTAAGGCCAAAGTCATTAATATGGTCCTTTATACCGGGGGTAGTTCTTTGGTCATTATGGAAGGCTAGAAATTCGGTGGTTTTTGATGATGGGAAACTGGACAAACCTAATCTTTTCTTCATTTGCAGATTTAGGTTGGTTAAGTGGTTCCTTGCTAAATACCCAAATGATTTCATTCAGGTTGATTCTCTTGTTGGAGACCCGTCGCTTGCAGACAAGCACCAGACAAGCCACCATAAAAGGGTGAAGGTTCAGGAATGGCTTCCTCCTCCACTACATTTTTTCAAAGATTGATGGGGCGGTTAGTGGGGACGGCCTGTTGGGGGGAATCGGGGGTATTCTAAGGGACTCGGAAAGCAAAATCCTTGGGTCTTTCTCACTTGCTGTTGGTCCATGTCCTCCTCCACTTGCTGATGAAAGCAATAGAGAAAGGCATTGAATTTTTTCTATCGTCGATGGGTGACTCAAGGAAGGTTAATTATTGAGTGATTGTAAGACAGTGGTGGATTGGATCTTACAACCGATTTCTCTCCTCCTTTCCTTAGGTTAATGGTTCTAAAAATTGCGTCCTTAATCTCGAGAGGGCGATCATTATTAGACATATTCCGAGGAATTGTAATTGTGAGGCTGATGACCTTAGCGAAACAGGGGATTGGCTGATCACACATCAGTTTTAGAGGTCATTCAGTGGGGTTTTGGGTTATTGTGGTTGTAGGGGATGTGGTAGTTTCGCTATTGTATAGGGGCAGACTGGTTGTGATAATTGGTCTGTATTTTTTTATGGTGTTTAGTCAGTCTGTGGGGTGTTTCTTATGTACTATGTTCTCTTGAGAAATAAATCCTAAGGCACTCTTTTCCTCTCTTCACTGATTAAGGAACTTTCTCAAGTTCCTTTAGTCAAGAAGGGGGTTTTTAATGAGGCCTGTAATTCTTATAAAAAAAATTATATGTTGGAGGAGGAAGGGTTTTAGCGAATTGTTGACAAATGAGCTGCTCAAACTGGGTGCACAGGAAAACTTGATGCCCCTCTCCAATACTTAACAGGGTGAAGGATGTGTAAAAAACGGGTCTAGTAAGATTATCTTCAATTACCAGGAAATCAGAACGTTAGAGTCTGCGATCCAGGATATGGAATTGAAACAACAAGGGTCTTCCTTGGTTTCAATGTTCTTGTTGAAGCAAAGAGAGATTTATGGAAGTTAGAAGGAAGAATCAATCTGGGTGCAAAAGTCTAGATTGAAATAGAGACTGGAGGGTGATAAGAACACAAGGTTTTTTCATAACAGTGCAACAATTAGAGGGAGGGTAAACTGCATTAAAGCCCTCAAAGTTGATGGGAAGTTATAGAAGATCCTAGGTCAGTTAAAGCTTAAGTGATGGAGTTCTTCAAGAGCTTGTATAAATAAAAAAACACCTGGAGGTAGAGGAATTAATCTGGATTTTCTTAGGCTCTCGGAAGGTCAGTGTTTAGCATTGAGAGAAGCCTTTTTCTGAAGAGGAAGTTTGGGAAGCTATTGTTCATTCGGATATCAACAAAGCTTCGGGTTCGGATGGTATGACTTAGGGTTTTTTAAGAAGTTCTGGAATATTTTGAAGGATGATATGATGCGATTTTTTTAGGGAATTCTATGTAGGAAGGAGTGAGATCCGGAGGTGAATTTTCCTTCATTTCTCTTATCCCAAAGAAGGCAAATCCGGAGGGGTTGGAAGAATTTAGGCCAATTAGCCTAGTGGGAGGTCTATATAAAGTTATTCTAAGGTCTTAGCTAGAAGGTTGAGTGTGTATTAATGATATTATGAGTCCGTCCCAATTTGCTTTTATTCCGGGGAGGAACATCTTGGACTGCTCTTTTATTGCAAATGAGCATTGATTTTTGAGAGAGAGGGCTGAAGGGAGAATTCAACTGTCACATCTTCAATTTGCGGATGATTATAATTTTCAGTAAACGCTCTATTCATGAGTTGAGGAATGTTAGAAGAGTGTTACTCATTTATGAGCTTCTGGTAGGGTTGAAGTTAAATCTAGGCAAAAGCATGATTTTTAGAGTAAATGTTGAAGATGGGGAGTTAGCTACTTGGGCAGACGTTATATTCTGCTCGGTAGGATATCTTCCATCGGAATATTTAGGACTGCCTTTGAGGTACAAGAGGAATTGGCTATGTGGGATCCTATAGTGGCGAGATTTCATGCTAAATTGAGTGGCTGGATAGCCAAATCGTTGTCGATAGCGGGAAGGGTGGTATTGGTCAAATCGATGCTTTGCTCTCTATCGATCTATTTTCTGTCTATGTTTCGAATTCCAGCTGCTGTGCTACTTAAACTTAATTCTATCATGGCTTCTTTTCTGTGGGGGGTTCGATGGACAAGGAAAAAATCCATTGGGTCAACTGGAAGTTGGTTACTAAACCAAAGAATTGGGGGGTCTAGGGGTCCCTAATCTAGCACTAATGAACCGAGCCTTACTAGGGAAATGGGTATGGAAGTTTACTTCTGAAAAAAAAGTCTTGGTGGAAGAGAGTAGTTTGTGTTGTTTACAATCTGGATCCGAATTCCATTATTTTGGGGAATTCGTGGTCAGCTCGTGCATCGTGGATTTGGAAAGGTGTGGTGAAAAACTTCTTCAACAGTGATGATTTTGGAGATTGTCTTAGAAGGAATATGCATTTGAAGGCTGGAAATGGGGAAGCTGTGGAGTTTTGGAATGATGTATGGTTGGGTGATGTTCCCTTGAAAATTTTGTTTCCTAGACTTTATGTTTTATCAAATAATAGAGTGGGCAAAGTGATGGAGTTTATGGTGAAGAATGCTTCGGGTTGGGTGTAAGACATCCAAATGAGAAGGAACTTGGCTGATTGGGAAATTGAACAGTGGCTGCAGTTGATCACTATGTTGAATAATACCTCCCTTTTTCCTGCTGAAGATGATTGTTGGATTTGGTTAGGGAATGGGGAAGGAACTTTCACAGCAAAGTCTTGTATAAACTCTTTCTTTGACCAAGGTCGTTTTGAGCATAATCATGTGAATTGGGAAAAGAATATTTGGACAGGTTTAGCTCCTCCAAGGGTGGAAATGTTTGTTTGGCAATTAGTGCAGCAAAGAGTACCGGTTAAAGAGGAGTTAGCTAAGAGAGGTGTTGCAGAGATTGTTGATCAGCTTTGTGTTTTGTGTGGTCGGGAGGTGGAATCAGTTTCCCATTTATTTCTGCATTGTAGGGTTGCGTGGGGTCTGTGGGCTTCCTTCTTGAAAATGTGGAATGTGTCGTTGGTGATTCCAAAGTGTACCATGGACTTTATAATTTTGGGGATGATTTTATGACTAACTCTTTGATTTGGAAATTCATTCCTAGGGCAGTTGTGGTCGGTCTTGAAATGTAGAAATGGGATTATCTTTCAGAAAGGAAGCTGGATTTGGTCAGATTATCCTTCATTGTTAGATTTAGAGTGGCTTCCTGGTTTAGTGCTCGTTTCAAGGATGTGAGCATTCCTTTAGATTCTCTTGTAGGTGATTTGAAACTTGCAGATTCGGCAGGTAGATCAGGAAAGGGTTGCTATCAATCAGCTTGCTGGGTTCCTCCACCGGATGGGTTTCTAAAGTTAAATGTTGATGGAGCGATGGTTTCGGGGTGGGAAAAAGGATATTGGTGGTCTGGTTCGGGATAGCAGTGGACTATTGCTACAGTGGTTCTCTGAATCAGTAGGGGTGGTCCTCCTATCTTGGCAGTTGTTGGCAATTAAAAGAGGGATTTGTCTTATGGAGGAGTTGGATTTTGTCCCAAATCAGAGATTTTATCGTGGAATCAGATCATCTAACGCTCTGAAGTGGATCCAGAATACGGGTTTAAGCCCCCTATGCATCTATCCTTGGTGAAGGATATAGTTCGAGTTGACCGGAAAAGATATTACATTTAGGCATATTTGAGGGCGGCAAACTGGGAAGCTGACAAACTAGCTAAAGATGGATAGGGTGATTTTTGGGTTATATGATCGTGCTGATTAGTAGGAATTGTATTTTCCTGTTTGTTAGGTGGTTTGTTTTTAAGTCTTATGTTCTTCAGTTGAAGTTTAGGAGTTTGTTCAGTCTTTGTAATTTGGCTCTTGTGAATAAAAGTTTCATGGCACTCTTTCCTCCTTCTTTGTTCCGTCATGTTACCTTCATAACATAGCAGGGCTTGAAGGAGGTTTTAATGAAGCCTACTTTCTATCAAAAAAAAAAAGTCTCATTCATTGTTGCTTTCAACTCGGGAATTTTCATCATTGGAGGCCACTGTTTCTTCATTTTGATACATATTTCAAGACTTACTTGTCTTGTAGGAAAGATCTACTATCAGATAAACTTCTAGAAGATGATAGTCCATTTCCAAAGCATGCGGTTCTTCAAATACTACGAGTATGCAAACAATCTTGGAGAATTGCCACAGTAAGAGTTCATTTGATGGCTTGGAGGTATGCTGAGATGGAGTCTGAAATTGTTTTTTAACCACAGTAACTTGCAAACTTATAAATTATTGGATGCTCTCTCTCTGTCTTCCATGTTGTTTCATCTAATACAACTGCCATTCTCCTTTCAGCATTTCAAGCTTCTACTTTTCATCCACTGATCCTGAAGTTCTTATAGCTACATTAAGACTCTTTCTGCTCTTGTTAAAATAAATCCATCTAAGGTCCATGGTAGTGGCAAGCTGATTGGATGGGGCTCGGTAAACAGCTATCTTCTGTCTCTTGCTCAGGGATGGGGGAGCAAGGAGGAGGGGTTGGGCTTGTAATCGTGTGTTTTGTCAAATGAGAGATCACAGGTGGAATGGATTACCTTGTTTCCGTCCGACATGGAAAATGATTGTGATAAGTCAAATCGGATTGGGTCTGACCTTTATTTTGAATTTCATGGGCTCAATACTCAAAGCAACGAAGAAAGCATTGGCAATTCAAGTTCTACAAGAGCCATACACATTCCAGATCTGCATTTGCAGGAGGAGGATGATCTGTTGATAACGAAGCAATGTATTGAGCAGTATAATGTACCACCTGAGCTCTGGTTTTCATTCTAACAAGAATTAGATGTGCATTCCTTTCGGTCGCCCAGGTATGCAGGCTGTACAGCAGGATTTGCCTTCTTGCTTTATTGTGCTTGTTAAGTCTAATGATGCTAATGATGAGCTGTCATCTTTTTTTGCAAATGAACCGGAGTATACAAATGAATTATCAAGATAGTGCGGTCAGAAGAAACTATTCCAGGAAATATTAGAACTCTTGCGATGCTTGCATTGGGTGCTCAGTTAGCTGCATATTCAAACATC